ATATATTTTCTGTTATTTGTATTAATATAGCAGAAACTTTTATTTAAAATAAAATATTTATTATTACTATGATTGGCAAATATTCTTGCAATTATTTACTTTGAACTGGTGGCATCTGTGGGTGTATTTGTCATCGATCATTAGGGTGTCATGAACATTGAAAAGTTAGGAAGCGTTTTCCTTGCACAGTTTGTGATAAGCTGACTAGTTCTAAGCCCAGCCTTTGTAGAAAATATGCTAGTGGTTATTATATGACCCAGTATATTAATAGGCTTCGGGATAGAGTCATAGGTACTTATTGAGAGGCAAATTAGGGTTGAAAATTTTATACCTAGTACTAAGACATACGAAAAATTTACACCTATCCTTGAGTGTCTTGTTGTTCAACTACGCTAGGTCCCTTTTTTCAGCTTTGTATTCTGATTTTTTTTACACCTAGTACTAATATATACGAAAAATTTACACCTAATCCATTTTTTTTTACACCTAAGGTGAAAATTAGCGACCCTAGCTTTATGTAAAGAAAATGGCTTAAGAATGGTTAACTGCATATTGAGAAATTATTAGTATACTAGAACATGATCTAGAGCTTTTAGACTTTCTTGTACACATTCAAAAATTTACACCTATGAACAGACATAGGTGTAAATTTTAGTATTGCTAGCTGATAATGAATCAACTTTAGAATTAATTTTAGGATATCATGAAATATAGTATGCATTTTAGGCTTACATGGTCAGATCTAACTCAAATCGTGTCATTTTGTTCCTTGATTTTTGATGGATCCTCTGGAGGCAAGCAGAATAGCATAAAGGTTATTATTCATATTGGGTTTACAATGTCAGACCCAGCTCAAATCACATTACTTTGTTCCTTGATTTTCAATGGTCCCTCCTAAGGCAAACATAATAGTAAAAATTTTTTAATATATTATTTGGAATTAAAATCAGGCTAGAATGGTTATATCAAATAGTATAATTCTTGATATCTGAAGGTTAATTCCAAGCTAAGTTCGATATCATCATCTAGAATTGAGTCAAATTATGCTAGAGGTTTAAATTCAATAATGGATTTCGTATAGCTAGAATTGATTTAGAAGTGATTTAATGATTTGTTTCAGAATCCCCTTTTTGGTCTATATATATTGATTTGTTAAATTCGTGATCTAAAATCTAATTTATCATTATTACTCTTCTATCATATTCAAAGTATTTATATGTATTTCCAATTTATATCCTTAATATTTCTTATATTTATAAATTGATATACTATTAATTCAATAGTTTTATTAATATGAACAAATTCTTAAGATTATTAAGTTAAATCATTATTTTTCAGATACCTATAACTTTACTATACATGTTAAAGTCTATTTTTCAGTCAGTAGATTTGGCAAACAACTCATATAAAGTAATATTAATTTCTTGTAAAATCAAGAAAAATTTTGCAGATGGTATGGTATATATAGATCATAAATCAAAAGTAATAAATCACATATAGAATTTAATTTCTGTAATGCTTTGCAAATTTTTTTTATTTTGTTTTAGAACTTTAGAATAATCTTTATTATTAATTAAAGCAATTTTATAATGGGTTTTATTAGATTATAAGTGCATTTTATATTTATATAGAATTGATATATGTAGAATAGAATTAATAATAATATTTGAAACCTATTTAATATATATAGTTTAAAATTTTAAAAACTTTTTTGAAACATTTAAAATATATTTTTTTTAAATTCAAAACTTAATTAAACTTAATTAAGTTTAGGAAAACCTATTAGAAGTTTAAGTAAATATATTTATTATATACAAATAGTTTAATCTCAAATATATTAACTTAAATTTTTTAAAAATAGTTTAATGAGATATCTTTAGATAGAATTAAGATAAAAATTAGTATTTAGCATTTAATAATAGAAAAATCAAAATATTATTAGAGTACTTTTTCTATATAAATGTATGAACCTATTATTTTTTTTTTCTTTCTTTTTTATATATCTAAAATAAAGTATCTAATTAAATATAATAAATCTTAATCATATTGGGCTTGTAATTTTTAATAAACAATATGATTAGTATATACATCAGAATAAATATGATTAATTTTGTAATTTTATTATATTAATATAAATATATATATGAATAAATAAGTTTTATAAGAAGAGGGTTTATAGTTATTTTTAATAATATAATATATGGGAGGTTTGCTAGGAAAATGGGACTCCGAGAATTTTTTATTAAAATTTAAATTTTTATTGCATTTTAATTTTTGATAATGTTAGATTAAAATGCAATAAATCTTAAAATTTTAATAAAAAATGCTTAGTGTCCTATTTTCCTAGCAAACATAGGACCAAAGAATTTTTTTGGAAACTTTTACTTTTTTTGATTAAAATAAAGAATTATGAATAAAAATTTTATTTAAAATTTTTGTTTTACAAAAAATTGTACAGAGAAAAAAAAAGGAGATTGAGTTTTTACTTCACAATAAATGGATATTACATTTTGAATAAAGATATTCAAAAGTATTAAAATTTATCACGTGATGAATTTTAGATTTCGATCGTCCATGTAACCTTAGTCTAACTGTATAAATTGTGTTTTCAAATAAGAGGAGGAAAATATTTTAAAAACAGGCATGGACGCTTCAAAAACGTTAGTTGTCGATAATGGAACGGGGGTGAGTCGGAAATTTACAAGGTCTAAGGATGCTTTTCTCGTCAGGAAATTAAACAAATTTAGTTTAGTTTTGAAACCTTTTTTTCCGGAATTAGCAATTAAAAAATTTCGGAAACTTTAAATACGAAATTCACATAACATTGCCTTTCAATGCATCATAGTTTGTCAAGGTCGGCTATGCTGGTTCCAACTTTCCCGATTATGTATTCCCTTCTGTCGTTGGAAGACCAATCCTTCGTGCAGAAGAAAAAATTGGCAATGTAGAAGTGAAAGATATCATGGTTGGTGACGAAGCGGCTAAACTTCGATCAATCCTACAAATGTCATATCCGATGGAAAATGGGATTATAAAGATATGGGAGGACATGAAACATTTGTGGGATTATACTTTTAATGAAAAATTAAAAGTGGATCCAAGGGATTGTAAGGTTTTGTTGACAGAACCACCAATGAACCCAACGAGTAATAGAAAAGAGATGGTACGGATGATGTTTGAAACTTATGGGTTTCAAGGAGTTTATGTATCTATTCAGGCAGTACTCACTCTGTATGCTCAAGGTAAGTGCATCTTTTTTAAATTTTTATCATAAGGATGTTTTCAAGAAAATTTGAACTAAAATTTTCTTTTATCATGATGAATAAAATAGGACTTCTGACCGGAGTCGTGGTAGATTCTGGTGATGGTGTGACACACATTGTTCCAATTTATGATGGGTTCGCCTTGCCACATCAAACACGTCGATTAGATGTTGCCGGGCGGGATGTGACGCGTTATCTTATAAAGTTACTTTTGTTAAGAGGATATGCTTTCAATCGAACAGCGGATTTCGAAACTGTTAGACAAATTAAAGAGAAACTTTGCTATGTAAGGTAATGTAAGGTTTCAAGGTTTACCTTATATATAAATCATAAAAGGAAAATCTTATTAATGTGATGAATATCAAAAAAAAAAATTAGTTATGATATTCCTTTAGATCAAAAATTGGCAACTGAAACCACAGTCCTTGTAGAAAATTACACGTTACCTGATGGTCGAGTTATCAAAGTGGGTTCCGAACGATTTGAGGCTCCCGAGTGCATGTTCCAGCCTCATTTGGTTGATGTAGAAAAGCCGGGTGTTGCAGAAATGCTTTTTGAAGCAATTCAAGATGCAGCTGTAGATGTTCGTCCTGAATTATATAGGCATATTGTTTTATCTGGAGGATCATCTATGTACCCTGGTTTACCAAGTCGTCTTGAAAAAGAACTTAAACAGCTGTATTTGGTTAATGTAGCGAAAAAAGATACTAAAATATTGAAGGTAAAAATGTTAAAATATGATTTACTTTGTATTCCATTACATTTTATTATATTTAACCTAATTTTTTAATGAATAATCAGAAATTAAAAATTAAAATTGAAGATCCGCCCAGGCGTAAACATATGGTTTTCCTTGGTGGTGCTGTTTTGGCTAATATTATGAAAGATAAACATTCATGGTGGGTCACAAAACAAGAATGGGAAGAAGAAGGTGAAAATTCTCTGAACAAATTAGGACTTCACGGTTCAACTTGAAATCATTAATCAAAGTGTAACAAAATATTAAGGACAAATTATTTATTTTATCAAATTTCCTTCGGCTTTTTTATTTTTTTTAAAAAAAAAAATAAACTTAATAAATTATTCTTAATACAAATATTGCTTAAAGAATGTATCAGAATTCCCATATCTCCCACCCTTTCTTCATATTTTCTAATATTAATTCCCTCTCATCACTTTCCAACTCTTTTGATTTATCTTTATGATCAAACAATTCAATGCTTTCTTCCGTTGGAAAGATATAACTCGGTCTTTCATATGCAAGTGCAGGAGTCTTGTTCTTTTTATATTTACGATTTGTTTCTGTTTCAATCAACGTTGAGTACGTATGATCTAAGAAATCTTCCAAGTTGTAAGAAGGTTTTGTAAATTTGTCTTGAAAAATCTTTGCTAAAGTCGCAACATTAGGGAAATAATGGTTTTGTAAGGTCTAAATTAAATATTAGAACCGGTATGAGTTATATATAATTAATACGTTATCACATTAATAAAATATATTATTAAGATAATTACTTTCAACTCCCACAAAGAACTTTCAATCGCATTACTCTTCATAGGATCGGGCTCATCAAAGTTGTAGGGATCCGAATAATCTGAAGCATTAATATCTGAACCTTGGGTTTGTAATTAAAATAAAAAATTAATATTATAACATTATAATAAATTATTGATTTTGCTTGACAGATACTTACTATTTGTTCCTAATTTATAGGTTTGTTCACTCGAACGATGTATTAAAACCATACAACTTGGATGCCGTCTAATTAAATTATAAATCAAAGGTATCAAAATTACAATGCCATGTGGTGGAGATGTCAATGAAAGTCGGGACATTCTTTTTATGAATGCCGCAACTAATTGGACAGGAAGATGACTGTAAAAATATAGAAGATAATTAGGTGTTCTTGAAAAAAAAAATTTTGAATATCAACTGAACAAAATATAAATAATACACACGTAGATGCAAGAAAAAGGTCAGCCAGACGGAAAAACCTTGAACGATATTTTACATGCATCAAATTACGATCGAATAAATTATACAATTTCTTATAAAAGTCTGGGTAATCCCTATAAATAGACACCAAAATAAGTATGAAGTAAATGATTTAACGAGTATTCCTAATTTAGTCAATAAATAACTTACAGATTATGTTCGCTTATAAGAGTAAACAGACCATTAAGTGCCAAAATGCTAATAACGCCACCTTTATAGATAAAAGAATATTTTCATAAAATGATTAAATAGGATGAATTAAAGGGGATTGGATATTTGATAGCTCAGAATATGATGGCTCAACAAACGGTAATGTTTTCAAGAGGAAATAATTCAGTTCAATAAATAGTCACAATTGATTACGCTTGTAGCAGATCAAATTGATAGCTAGTTCCTCTCAAAGCTTTCCCCAAACAACTAAGGAGGACATTTAACCATCTACCCTGATACACAAGGAGTAAGCTGATTGGGGAAATCGACATTACTTCATTTCGTCGTTATAATTTACAAAGCAATTTAAACTTTTTAAATACAGTACCAGCATTATATGATTCGGTTAAGTAATCCATTAATAAAGTAGGCTGAGTCATATGAGGAATTATCTTTCTATGCATGATTAAAAGGATTTTCCTGTATGATTCTTGTGTCATTGGAAGTTTCATTAATGCTAACCAGCAATCAGAAAACGCTCGTCTATGTTCTGATAATCGGAGCAATATAGATTTTTTAGTTTTCTTGTCGGAAATATCTTCTTGAGATACCTTGTCTTCTTTTGTCTGCTGGTTTTCAAAATCTTCATCAAACCCAAAATCATCAAAAGACATATGATCAAAATCATCTTCATGATCATCGTTTTCTTGCTTATTCTCCAATGCTTCTGACAAATTACTATGAGGTGCAGGATGTCCTATCCAAAACTCATCAATTTCCGATGCATTAGTTGGCATGGTTCGTAAATTTTCAAGTATTGAAAAAGTGTTTTCCATTAAATTATTTAATTTATTATCGTCAGACCTTCCATCTAATCTTTTTTTCTTAAATTCATAAAATAAATGGTAAACATCAAAAAACATTTTAAATGTAATCTATATGATTTTGATTATATTCCTCAAATGTACCTTAGAAACAGGACCGGATTTATCTTTTGGTTTACCACTGTCTAAGACGAAATTAATGATTTTCCTATAATATATTCATTCCATCACGCAATAAAAGGGATATTTAAATAAAAAAAAAAAAAATTTTTTTTTCACAGAAAATATTATAAAACTTACGAGGCATTTTTTAAAAAGTAAAACCTTAAATCATCATAAATATTCCAATATTTTTCAACGAATTCATTTTTTAACGGTTCACTGAAATTTTCATTATCAATGAGCCCTTCAACGACATGATAAAAATGATTATTGGAAAATTGATGTGTACCAGATGATGAAGAATGATACATTGACTCAATTTTAAGTAGGTCCAATAAAATATTTAATGATGGAATCTTTTTTGTTACAATTAAACAAATTATTTTAATTATTATGATTAACACTAATTAAAGTAAATCGATTAAAATACCTGTAAACCTGGCTCTTCATGTCCAAGTAAACCACATAATGTATTGACATATTGAATATATTTATCTCGAAGCCAAATTTTTATCAGTTCTTCTTTATCATTTTCAGGGCCTTTAGGTTTTTGTAAATCACCTTTAGAAAGTAGAGGCGTAAAAGACCGATATAATGCATATATCGCAGAATGAATTACTTTGGAGGAATTATTCTGTCAACGAAAGAAAAATTTTTAATTCTATTTACTCGATAATTTATATTTATTTTACTTTTATTATTATTATTATTTTTTTACCTTAGTATATTCAAGTAATGTAACTATGTTGTTATAGCTAGATTTGCTAATTGAAATGTCCTGCTCCAATCCTTTAATTTTTGCTAACTGCACTCGTTCGAGTTCTGATTCTTTTCTTGAGGGCTGTTGGTAATAAAATTACGAATTAACTTTTGATAAAACTAAAATACGTTTTTTTAATATATTAAAAAAAGATATAAAAACTTGCAGAATTTCTAGATTCTTCGGCTGCCTTTCGTTTATTCCCTTTGAAGGACATTTTTTTATTATATTTTGAAAATTTTAGCGATAATCTTTTAATTGTAGAAGACCAATCAGAAATCAGAATCCTGTTTCGTTACCCATAATAATTTCGATTTTTTGATGGTTAAAATAATTTTTTTTTTCTTCAAAAAAAAAATAGATGATAAAATAAAATAAAATAAAATAAGAAAAATATATAAAAAATATAAAAAATAGATATATAGATAAATCAAAATAATATTAATAATATTCTAAAAGCAAAAAAAAAAATTGACAATATATTTTATAATAAAAAAAATTTTTTTTTTCCCTTTTTTTTTGTTTTTGTGTAAAAAAACAAATAAGATAAATACAAAGGAAACTAATATATATGTATTTTTTTTTTTTTACATACAGTATATCTGCAAGCAAAATTGAGTGGTCGTTTACTCAATAAAAAGAAATCCATACTACTATATACTACACTATTTTAAAGTAATAATTTTTAAGCAAGAAAACAAAGATGCCACTAAGCAGAAAAGTCATAAATAAGCCCTCCCATTATCAAGCATAAAGAGGCGGAAAAAAATAATCGTAAATTGAGGAAGATATGAATTCGAAATTAATGTTTATATATTTAATTATTGATTTTCGTGACGGGAATGTTATGTGGCTAATAAGTCGAAAAAATTTGTGATGATGGAATCCAAAGGGCATATTTAGCATAACTTTGAGAAAGGACTTGCTAGTAATTTCTTTATTTCTCCTTTGACTTAGTTACTAGACAAAAAAGAAGAAGGAAAAAACATGTATGAGACAAAGTAACTTATTTCGTGTAGGTTTAAAACAAAGAATACAAAATCATACACTATTTGCCTACATATGAAGGCAAATGGAAATCATTCCTGTGGGTTTTCCTCTCCACCACTTGTACTTGTGCTGGCTGCACTATTTGTCCTAGGAACAATATGTGGGCTGCGTAATGTCTTACCATGTAAGGCATTCTTAAGAGCACGTATCGCAAAGACTGTTAATCCAATTTGTGTCCAATCTTGGTCTGTTAGTGCACGTAAATCGCCAACAGACAGAACGTCCTGACTTTTTAACTTCTCCGACCAATCATTTGCCTTATCCGCGTTTCGGTTGATTGCAGTGGCAGTGTCATTAACAAATTGATTAATTGGAGTACCATCCGGATATTCTGTAAATAAATAAAATCATAAATAAGAAAATGAGGTTAATCGAAATTATTATAGCATAATCTCAATTTTGATTAGAAGATCCTAGGCTTATGTTCCTCGAAAACTTCTATAATATTAAATCCAACCTTTAGCTGGAATTGTATCTTCATAATCGGACCATTCATGCGGTGGTGCGACAGAAATTGAATTTTTTCGTGGAGACTCCGTTGGCATTATAGTTGGCTGTACAGGATATGATTGTGTAATAGTTCCATTAGGACTATCGATTTCTAAATTAATTGGCGTAGGAGACGGACCATGAGAGGACTTATGAGGAGTCAAATGTGGTGACATTCCACCGTGAAATGTCGCCGTACCAGCTTGACTTGGCCATGGTGTTTTATGTTCTTCTTTATTTGGATCGTCTTCATTTGATTGCTTATTGATATCCCGTAAAATACGATTTATTTCATGAGTAATCAATTGTTGGTACTTCTCTGGAAGAACCTGTTCCTCTATCTGTTTTAAAGTAGTTATAAAAAAAATTAGAGCCTTATGTTTATATATATGGATATGATTTATTTACCATTTCGTTAACAACTTCTTCTGCTGTGTCTCTTTCCACGTTGAACTCAAATTTCACCGATAGCTTATCCATTCCTTTAAAGACGACTTGTAATGTTAATTGAGTTTTTTTATCATCTGCCTTAATTAACACCACTTCTGGTTCGACAGTAAGGAAAGGATGGTCCATTATTTGTTGTGCAGTGAATCTTTAATATTTCAAAATGGATAAGGACTAATGTTAATCATATTATTGAGTGAATATTCATAAACAAGAATAATGAAATAGAAATTCCTTTTTGAAAAAAAAAAAATAAAATAATTCCAACCTCTCATTTTCCGGAGTTAAACAATTGTTTATCAAATCGAGAACTTCGGAGTCTTGTACTCTTTTTAAGCTTTCCGGTTTTATACCCTTGAATACAATTGAAACAATTTTGAAATTAATATATATATATATATAAATAAAACGAATAAAGGATAATTTTATGTATATATATAATTACCTGAGAAACTTTTTTATAAATCTGTGCTGCATTCTTACATTCTCCGTAAGGGTATTCGCCAGTAACCATTTCTAGAAGACACATGCCAAACGCATAGATATCGACTTTTTCGTTATAACCTTTTTCTTCGTACATTTCAGGTGCCATGAACTCGGGAGTTCCTACATTTTAATTTATAATTTACGAACAATAAGTCGCAACAATCATTTAGATCGCCGAGTGAAGAGGTACCGGGTACCAATATATGTAAAACCACGATAGCAAACCCGGCTGGGATGATGTTACTGCATACCGATGACGGTATACTTTTTTCCCAACTTCATCTTGGCGGTTCCCATGTCACCAATTTTTACTTCACCGTGTGCGCCATTGATGAAGATGTTATCACACTTGATGTCGCGGTGAATAATGGGTGGATTATGTGAATGAAGGTATATCAGTCCTTTGAGTATTTGACGAGACCATCGTTTAACTATTTTCATATTCGGCAATGAAAGTTTTCGAATGTATCTAAATAGATTAATAAGTATGTATATATATAATTAAAAAAATAACGGTAATTTTTTATTTCTCTGACTAATAAAAATATATTGTTGTGTATATTCGTTATTTTAAATAATAATATTCGATAAAATATCACCGTTAATTCCTGATTATTTCATGAAATGAAACATAGAAAGAACAACTCACTCCCGCAACGTCCCTGAAGTCATTAATTCTGTAACAAAAATAAACTCAGCATCTTTGTACCAACAATCATGAAAATTAATAATATTAGGATGTCGAACTTGTTTTAATATTTTAATTTCTTGGCTCAAGTCATTGAATTCTGCTCTTGTGGTCTGTAACGCAATTAAGTAAACAAAATAGAGAAACATGAGTAATTTTCAACCGCGATTCATTTAGTGCTGGGCGCGTCTTACTTGAAAGCAGTTCCACGCGACTTCATAACCTTCTTCACGATCTATAGCTTTATATACAACTTTATAAGCGCCCTTTCCTAAAATTGTATTCAACTAGAATATAAAGTCATGATAAAAAAATAGTTTATCGGTCAATGTTCAAATTAAGTATACTTAAAAAAAAAATAATTGGCTTTAGAAAAACAAAAAAAAAGGATCTTTAATGGCACTATGTTACCTTAGCATATCTTTGGTTTGGACTTTCTTCAATGACAACTTCGCGATCCACGATCTCATTTGGCGGTTGCGAGTAAGAACTTACATTGTATTGATTATCATGGTGAGGGTAAACATCAGGATGCATTCTTGTGTATATATCAGCACCACCGCCAAAGTCTGTGTGTAATCTTTGATAAACTAAATCATTGTTGTTATTAATATCAGCAGAGATATTTCCATTCTGATATTGGGTGTGTTCTTCGTCAAAAGGTGTTGATAGAGGGTTACCATTGTTTTCGGGATGATGGTGGTCCGCCATATAAAAAATCTTTTCACAATATTATTGTTTTCAAGAGTGTAGTAAAATTCCGAATAAAGGGATGTAAAATCGTTAATGTTAGTATGCCTGTAAGATTTAGTAGGTCAGGAGTTAGATAAATTAAATTTCTAAATTCTTTTTTCAAAAAAAAAAAAAATTAGAAAATCTCAATTCGTTCTAAACCATTGAAAATTCCGAAATAGATTATACTCTAGCAGCGATATCACTATATCCAAATGATTATAACAAAAAGAGTAAGGTATTTAAACGCCATTCCAAACCGCCACATTTTTGAAATCAGATCATTTCTTTCCTTTATAAAAGGTAATATTCCCGGGTCTTTACCATTTGACTATAATTAGAAATGCTGTACTTTTTTTGTATAGGGTATTCTAATTTAAATTATTCGCATCATGAAATTTAATACAAACCAAATTAACTGAAATTCTTATTAAAAAAGGAATGATCAAAGGTGCCCGCATCATCCATTGTCATTACTTTACAGTTTATGTATAAGTCTAATTAATTATGCAAACTATGCCAAACAAATAATTTATATACGATTAATACTATAGTGTAACAAAAGATCATTAGATATTATTAAATTTAATCTTAAATGATTAAAGTTTTTTTGAGATTTGAATAATAAAAATAAATATAAAAGAGATTGATTAAAAATTTATTTTTTAAATTAAAAAAATTATTTAATTTAGATAACAAAATAATATATTAAAATAATCTAGTTTGAATTAATTATATTTAAAATATTATTAAGTTTAGAAGAATTTTCAGATAATATAGAATTTTTTAATTTATATATATGTAGTTTGTAATTAAAAAAATAAATTATGCTTTATATATAGATTGATTTAACTTACTTTAATTATATTACAAATAAAAATAATTAACTATCAATTATTATTGTTATTAGTGGTTTGTTCTAGGACAAACCGCTTGTTTAAGATTAATATGTCTTAGAATGTTATAATATATAAATTAATATGTCTTAGGACGTTATAATATGTAAATTAATATGTCTTATGACGTTATAATATGTAAATTAATATATCCTAAAGATAGGGGTCTGCTTTCCTCTTTATGACCTGTTAGTTAATAATTATGGATGAACTACGCACCTATTTGGTTGCCTTTTAAAATACTGAAATGGTGTAAAAAAAGGCAACAGGTGGCGAAGTGAATTATTATATAATATAAAACCCCTTAACTTTGTTAAGAGGTTTTCTGAAAATTCGGGTGGATTTGTGATTAATTTTGATGAAGATTAAACTACTGGATTCAGTAGGTTCTGATTTATCCAACAAGCCTAAATTCACATAAATCCGATCAGTAGATGTCAAGATATTATCCTTTAAAGTTCAGGCAGAAAAATATATACTCTAATATTATGTTTTAGCTAATTAGATTGCCCAAATATAACTGCGTGATTATGTGATACTGCGTGGACTTCTGTTGGATATCATGTGATACTGAACCCTAAGGCCAACATTCTATTGTATCGGGTATTTCAGTAGCTATCAGTTATCAAATGTAATACCATGTATCTTACTCATGATTTTAGATTGGTCTAATTTATATTGCCATTC